CCACCCCTAATAAACATACACCAAAAGCTACAATGAAAAGATTCCAAAAGAGTTTAAAAAAAAAAACAAAAACAAAAAAAAAACACTAGACTAGCCAAGTTTGAAGATGTTTTGCTTCCCATCAATGAAGCTTTTTTTAATTCAAAATGTTAGATTTTTTTGTTGAGTTCCAACCTTTATAGGGTAGCCAAACAAAGCTTTGTTATGGCTTAGAAAACATACAAATTGAACCTCATTGCCAGGCAGGGGACCAAGATATCTCGCCTGTTCAGCCAAGCAAACAATGCCCCTGATGATTCCCCCCCTTTCAGAGGCATAGACTAGTATCGGATCGCAGGCTACCAAAGCCCTCAACGACCCCCATTCCTAAAGGGTGGACCTGTTCTTCCGCTTAAATTTGCATAAATACAAAACAGGACCACAAAAAAATAAAAAATAAAAAAAACATGATTGATCTATATAGAGGTTTGTGAGAAGCTTTTAAAAAAGCTGTTTCAATTTAGCCATTACGAGGTCAATTTAACCATTGACCTCCTGCCATCTCCACATCTGCCCAGTGTTCGAACTTCCCGGTTAGCCTCCAGAGTTAGAACCAGCCACCTCCCACCTTTGCCAAGCTCTGGCTAATATCTATAACCAGTCCTAAAGCAAGATAGAGTTGGAGGACGGTACCCAACTCTGGAGCAAAGGGGGCTGACAGTAGGAGATGTAGCAAGGTCTGATTGGCTAGTGATAAATGTATTGCCCATGTTGTATACGTTCTTGTGAATGGCTAAAACAATGAAGAATTTATTGCAAATGAAAGACTATTTAAAAAAATACATTTGTGCATTGAGTCATGTTAATTAAGTGAAAAAGACCCACACAAAAATTGCAGTAAGTTCAAAGACAATGGTATTTTATAAGTCAAGAAATAATTACATAATAATTAAGTGTATGCATTACATCTACTTTTGTAAATCTTGTCTTGTGAATGTATACATTTTAATTGTGCTTCTTTGAATAATGTGCATTTTTGGATCTTATCCTGTGCTTATGTGGATCTTATCCTGTGCATGTGTGGATCTTATTCCTATTTAGGATTTTACCTGATAATTATTTTGCTAATTGATTAACATTTGTTTATTTTTCTGGATTTATTTATTAATAATTGCATAACTAAAAGGTTCCTTAAAAAGATTTTATGGAGAATTTAAAGTAGGTGGAGCTTTTCTGACAGAGAATAGTAAAAGAAAAAAAAAGTTTTTAATCTTGAATAGAATGTTTTTTGTTTTCTTTTTAGCTATTTTGGTATAATTACTGCTCTGAGTGAGTTTCACTTCAGCTAATTGTATGTTTAAGAGTCTCTTTACTCCAGTTGATAATTAGTCAGTTACTAAATTAGCTGACTATTATTTCAATAATTGATTAATCAGGATTCATCTGATTAAGTGTTTCAGCCGTCAAACTAATAGGTCCATTTTAGGTCTAATCTGACCACAGCAGCTTTTTCAGGCCTCTAGGCTCCTTCTCTGATCAATCCTCCCTAGTTTAAGGGGCAGGCCATGTGTTGGTAAAACTTCAGTTTAGCAGAGCTTCATATGATGGTGTAGCTATAGATGTTGGGTTAAAACCTAACCCCTTCCTAAATATCTCCACATCTTTTCTTTTTATTTCACTTTGTTTAATCCTCTTAAACATCGGTCTATGCTTAGTTTATGTTTTGTGACCTTGTAATCTAATTAATATCTAATTGAAAGTGTTCTGAATGGATGATTGCCAGGTGGCTATAAATGAATCCTTATGGTGATGAATAAAGTTGTTTTCAAATTAAATTAAATAAAGCCCCATAATTGACAATAAAACCCGTGATTGAAAAGTAAAAAAGCTGAAAAAATGTTAGAAAATACAGTATATGCTGTAAACTGGCACCTTCTCTCTCAATAATGGCTCAAATTCAAATGCAAAACTTATCAAAGTTGTTTAATAAGAATAGCTAAAATACCAAATGAGCATAACAACACAATATCACACTTTTTGTGATTGTTAAGCATAGATTTTGAAATCCAGAGGGTTTTTGTTGTGTCAGTAACCTGCAAGAGTGAAATAAACTCCTTGAACACTCATACTCTTTTAGAACAGGTGCCACATGTCTGCAACAAACCAACCAGTTAGCTTCCATTAAAAAACAAAACAAAAAGCCCCTGATAAATAGAAACTCCTCACCAAGTCGTAGAGGCAATGCACTCTCTCCCTGCAAACAGATGGGAATTACCTTACCTGGCTTCCTCTGAAGGAGAACAGAGGGGGGCCCTCTTTTTGTTCTCTCTCTGCTTTCTAGAATCGGCAGCAGCGTATAAAAAGCTGCTTTTATCTCCAAAAGGTGTTCCCAGAGAGGAGGAGAAGGCGCTCCGATCGGCTGTCTGTGGGAGAGCAGGCGGTGTATCAGCTGAGGCTGATGAGGAGAGCGCCTTGCAGAAGCCTTGGCGGACACAAGAGGGCGCTGCTGCCCAACAAATAACACAATCCTTATCCATAGAGCAGCGTCCCGGGAAAAATTATAAAACTGGGGGATAATCAGAGGTAGGTAGAGTACCCACAAGTTTTACTCAAGTAAGAGTTACACTGCTTTATATTATCCTTTAGTCATATAAGAGTAAACCGTTTCCATTCAAGAAAAACAATTTAAAGTAAAAGGATATTTGGTAAAATGGCTACTAAAGTTCTTCTTCTAAAAAAAAAAAAAGACTACAAGTTCTATGTAACTCATTATAACATCTGATATTTATTATTCGGTAAAAATATAATATTAAAGTAAAATATTTTTTCCTTAATTGTAAAATATCTAGTAAAATATTTTAAACAAACAAATAAGGTAACTGGAAAAAAAAAATCACTTCTCCAAACCAATCTTCCCTAGTGACAATATTTAGTCCTTACCATATATTATTTTGACATCCAAATGCCACAGTAGTCAGTTAGTAGCTTCAGGTAAATTAATGTACAAAAGAAAGCACTAATTTTTACATAAACCATATCTGTGTCTGTTGTGACTCAAGTTAGATGGAGTAGTTAAGCCTTTTACTTAAATAAGAGCATCAACATTTTATTTAGATATTACTGAAATAAAAGTAAAAATGATGGTGCAGTCAAATTACTAAGAGTATATTTTTGTTATATGTTTTGTTATATTTTTGTATATTTTTGTTTTCTTAGTCCCAGGGACTAAGAAAAGCAGTTTCCCTAACCTCTACTCACTATGTAACCTTTACAGTGTAAACAAACTTTGCAAAGATGGTAAATTTCCAAAGAGTTATCGTGATGAACTATGTGAAAAACTGGAGCAAAGAAGAGGTATTTACTCATAAAAATATATTTACTGGGGGAGAATCATAGGAGGAGCATTTGAGGCACAGGGATTTCAGAGCGATTTCAGAGTTTTCAAACTCGGTCCTCAGGACCAACGTTATTTGTAACAAGTGTTGAATTGATACTACGTACAGTTACTAGATACTTCATACAAAAAGGGAGTACATTTTCAGTTACTGTTCTAATAGTTTTTTGTAAAATACACTGATTTATGCCCTAATATTAATTTGGATGCTGTACAAAATAAAAATGCAAAAAATGAGAGATTGGTGACGATTGTCCCATTTTTGACAATTGTCCAAATTACACAATGAATTGTCTAAACATATATAATTTGTATATAATGGCAAAGATTAAAGCTTCAGTTAATAAAGCAGGTCATATTTGTATCTATTTTATATTGTTCAGTAGAATAATTAATGATCACTAAATGAAAATAAAAAGAATGAAACATAATTTGAAAAACTGAAATGTAAAAAATTTTACTGAAAAACAAAAAAACCCATAAAAAAAAGTTATAAAAATCTGAGATTACTGAGATTTTTATTCTTTATAATGACATTTCCATTTACAAAACGCGTTCTTTGTTTGCAACAATAATGTAACAAAACACTAACACACAAAATATCCAAAGATAGCCAGAGGTCTGAGTTTCTATTATGATGCTGCTGAGCTAAATAATATTAAAACTGGTCAGCTTATCTGAATACCTAATAGAGAACCTGATAGCAAATCTAAAATTTCATCTAACAAAGACTTTCGTGAAAATGAATAAGAACATTAGAGGGTGAAAACTGGCTATGGAGACAGGAAGGCAACAGGAGCACCTGGTGACAAAAGTATCATTACAGGTGTTTAATGACAAAGATGGAGTTTTTCATCTGGAGATTGCAACAGAAAAGAGGATCATCTGAAAACAGTTGTGATCTTTGCGGTTTTGGTGACTACTTCACCAATTGTCATGGTAAATTCACATTTTTAAGAAAAATATTTCTTATATATTCTCTTTTGTAGAGGTTGGACCTCCAGTCCAGCTTGATGCTAGCCGGGGATGGTCTTAATGACTGACAAAGACTCCTGTGTCTTTTTCCTTAGTGGATCAAGTTGGGCCAAACTGGGCTCTGTTCCTCTCAAGCATGTCTTAGTGGGACCTGCAGGGATCTGGAGAGCCAATGACGATAAAAACTAAACTTTCATTGTTTCTGATTAGTATGTTTCAGAGCAATATTTTAAAGGTTTGACACTAATCCCATTTTCAATTATTTAGAAATACATTTCTTTGTGTCTCAAGTTGAACCAATTGGATCTGAATGCAAACACCCAGCTGGGGGAGTTTTTGTTGGGGTCCAGAAAAATAAGGAACACTCTGCAAACAGTTAATTGCCTTACCTGGCTCCAGGGATCTCACTCTTGTTTTCAGCTCTGTGTGCCAAATCTTTTACAGTGCCTCTCCTTGGGGTAGTGCTGAGAGGACACAAGAGGGCGATGCTGTACAACAAATGCTACTCTTCCACAAAGCCAGTCAACAAGGGTCCCTATAATTTGACCAGAAATATTTAAGGCATGAAAGCTCAGTTTTAACTTGAATTGAGGACACTACACAACTTTTGTAGAGTTCAGTAACTGCAAAGAGTAAATACAGAGTTTCCATCATGTGGAAGTGGAGGACTCATGCAGAAACTCACTGGTAGAAAGAATAAAAAAAAGTTATATAGGGGGAATCAAAGTCTCTCACAGTGGACATGCATCTATGATGACAATTTCAGACACCTCCACAATTTCCAAGTGGGAAAGCTTGCAAAACAGGATGTTCAAATACTTATTTTCCNGTCTTCTTCCTGAGTGGATCAAGTTGGACCAAACTGGGCTCTGTTCCCCTAAAGCATGTCTCAGTGGGACCTGCAGGAATCTGGGGAGTCAGCAATGATGACCAAGTCTATACATTTTCTGGTGGTGATTTCTTTCCTGTTTCAGGTGAGTATATTTCCCAACAATAGTTTCCAGGTTTATAACTGTTTCAATTTCTGTCGTTTAATAATGCAAATCTTTATGTGTTCAGGTCAGAAGTTGAAGCAGTTGGATGCTGGTGGAGAAGGGCATGTAGTTGGGGTTACCGACAGCGATAGCATCCACTGTCTGGATGCCAGTAATGTCTCACCCACTCAGCAGCAGGGCAGTTTGAGCTGGATTACAGTGCCTGGGTTGCTGATTCATTTCAGTTGTGGTCCCAATACATGCTGGGGAGTGAACTCCAATCAAGATATCTACTTCATAGTAACAGTTGTTTCTTTTTATTCTTTTCCATCTTGTAACAATATCCACCTATCAGCTTTTCATTCCTTTTGCTTTTTTAGAAAATCTCACCCAACAGCTGCAAGACAAGTGAATGGACTAAAGTAGACGGAGCAGCGGTAAAGGCAGAAGTTGGGACTGATGGACGTGTCTTTGTTGTAAATAAAGCCGGAAACCTCTTTGAAAGGTAAAGTTTGAAAGGTTTCTGTTGTAAATATGCAGCACAGAGAATATACATGGTCATTCGTTATACATACACATTATACAAATACTCATCTTACTCTTTACAGAATTGGCATCTCTGACAAAACTCCAGGAGGTGCAAATTGGAAACTAATTGAATTCCAGAAGCCCATCAAATATGTGAGCTATGACCAGGGACGCCTGTGGATTGTGACTGAGTGTGAAATCATTCTAGAGTGCACTCAGTAACCAGCTGGAGGTCCCTGCATGATTCAGTTTTTTCACATTATTTTGGGGCATATGCTTTATGATTCTGCTTTAAATGACTCTATGACAAGGAATAAATAGACGTTTAGAATATTAACTTGTCAAATTACATTGGATAGTTGGGTCTTGTATTGATAAATGATTACACTTCATATTCACACTTTAAGCTTTCACATTTAAATTATCAAAATCTTGTCCCAAGGAAATAATAAACTCTTTCCTTCATCAACCCTGTGTGCGCTCCTTTTTATCTGTTGTCGAGTGAAGTGGTTCTATTTATTTTTTTTTAACAGTGTCCTGTCTGGCAATGTGGCAATAAGAATAATTGTCCTGATGCCAAAAAAAGATACCAACAGATTTTGCACTCACAAGTGAAGCAGTACGGCTATCGCCATAGTGTTTCGCTTGATTTATGCATAAAAATAGCTTTATTGTAATTCATGCAGGGAGTATTATAGATTATACGGACACTGCAATGTAAATAGAACAGGAAAGGAAAAACTGAAAAAAGGAGAAAAGATTAAAGAAAGAGGAGATAAAAGGTAGATAATGATAAAACATCTTCAGTCTGCTTCATCGCCTGCAAAGAGATGTAAAAATAACAGCACAACCAACGGATATAGTATAAGAGATACAATAAAGATAAGAGATACACCGCCACACTAAACCATCTAGTTCCTGCTTCGAACCCGGCGCAGCACCCCAGGCGACCTCCAGCACAAGCCCCCTGGGGACAGGGCCAAAAAGGCCCGCACAGGACACCCAACCAGAATAGAATAGAATTCAACTTTATTGTCATTACACTGTCACATGTACAGAGCAACCAATTGAATTATCTTGGGGAGCAGTGGGCTGCCATTGTGCGGCACCCGGGGAGCAGTAAGGGATTAAGGGTCTTGCTCAGGGACCCAGAGTGGTAGTCTATGGGAGAGGGGGATCAAACTCACCACCCCAGGATTCAAAGCCCTATGCCCTAACCACTAGGCCACCACTCCCCCCCCTCACTCCACTAAGTGATGGAGCCGATCAAGGGAGCCCAGAAAGATCGGTGTGATGGGGATGCAGATTCTGTCTCATGATTAAATTGATGCAATTAAAGATCTCCATACTGATTGATATTGAGTTTTTCCTTACTTTTAGTTTTCTTTGTGATACATAATGCAGTGAAAGCCATGCAAACTATTTTTTCCCCAGAGAGCTTCCCTCAAAGTCACCCAGCAAGCAAACTGATAGGGAAGGCACTGTGATAAGTCCATACAGTACATACTGTACCCAGAACCTCTGAACCGATGTGCATAACCATAACGAGTGAATATAATTATCAAGTTGATTGCCTGTGCACTGTGGACAGATTTTAGATTGTACTCTATGGAGGATTTGTATTGCATTAGTTGTAAATTGGAGTTTCTGGTTAAGTGAACAATAAAAAAAAAGATCTAGTCCGACTTTATGTACAGTATTGGGCTTTTCTTTTGATCTTGCTGTGCTGAGGGCCTCTGATGGAGTCAGTCCCTTATTATTCCCATTTAGCTTTATTTCATGTCTGTCCCAACAGTAAGCTCTCGCTCGCCGTCCATTCTGACCTTCATGGAGACCTTGAACCCATTTTTTTTTTCCAGAACACTTGGAGAAGTTACTTTTATTGCAATTCAGGTTAAATTGCATTAGATAACCAGAACAAAGCACACATTTTTATCTTTAGAAAAAGTGTATCAGATATCATGCTGAGTCGAGGTTATAAATCTGCCATCTTGCGGTGGTCAATTGATCTATTTATTTTTATTCTATATGGTACCATTAAAAAAATTAAAATTTCTGAGTTATTAATCAGAATCAAGTTTATTTTCAAGTAGTTTTGCACTTACAAGAAATTTGACTTGGTTTTGATGGTACAGACAAATTAGATATATATACAGAATGTATAGCTATATACTATACAAATCATACAATATACTATATATATATAGCTATATACTGTATGCAAAGTAAAAATAAAGCAAACTGAAATAATTGGAAAATAATATTTATAATGCAATAAATGTAATTTGAATATATGGTCAA